GTAAAATATGTGAATCAGGAAATTGTCTATAAACCAAACTGAATGATTGTTGTTCTCTACTTCAAAAAACTATTTACATTTTAAAATAGAACAATGTACTATTTTTTATATATATATATATATATATATATTTTTTTTTTTCATTTAAAAATTCAATGTATAACATGGATGCATAAAAACCTGATTTTATTTCAGTGTTAAATTCAGTTTAAAGTAACAGATTATAATTAAAAATGTCTCTGGACCTTTACTGGTTGATGATTTTCTTTATTCAGACCCCGCTGGTTTTTAATTGGTTACCCCTGACCTGGAGAAATTGTGCAAAGAGAAATGGTCAAAGATCTCTTTTGTACTCTGCTCCAACATTGTAAAATGTTACAGAGGAAAACGATCTGCTTCTAATTAAACAACTTTTATTGGATTCGTTTTTATATTTCTGTTATTTGATTAGGTACAATGTAAAGGAAAACATTTAATCAGTACTTTGCTTCTCAGCTCTTGCACATTTCCTGGAAAGGTAATCTTAAATTAGAAATGGTATTTGTGCAGAAAAAATTATGAAAGGTCATGTGGATGCTCATTTCATAATGTTATTGGTGTGAGAATTTTTCTGCAGTGCAAAATTAATTGATTTCATAGAATTTACTCATCTAGAGGGTTCTTCACCTGAGATGTGTTTGATGTAGAAAAGGAGAAGAGTAGTAATGCGTTCTGTTTCTTTGTAAAGGGATGCGTTACAAACGTAGAGGAGTGGACACAGACGGCCATGTAGCCAACTATGTGGAGACGGAGCAGCTGATCCACGTGCACAGTCACACTCTGTCCTTTGTGCAGACCCGAGGGTCTGTGCCGGTCTTCTGGAGCCAAGCAGGGTATCGCTACAACCCCCGGCCACGCATAGAGAAAGGTCAGTAGAAGTAAAACATCTAAACCAAGGAGATGCTGTTCTTTGAGGTTTCTGTTTAGCACAGGATTGGGATCCTTTGTGGGGAAAAAAAATGCTTCAGAAATCATGAATGCTCAGCAGGACCTTTGATGTCTTATAGCCCATGTTCTTTCATATGATCAAATGTTGCTCTCGTCCTGCAGGGGAGAAGGAGACGATGCCTTATTTTGCGGCTCACTTTGAGAAACAGCTGGAGCTTTACACCAAGCAGGTTGGTTTGGTTCACCAGGATGCAGACATGTCGGGGGTGGAATTGCACCTAGCTTTCAAAAGGAAAAAGAAAAAAAAAGGCTGGTTTGGATGGGGATATTATTATTATATTATCCCCTTAGGCATTTTTTTTAAATTATATTTATTGTCAGAAACATGGAAATGTGACAGGAAGAAGCATATGAAAGCACAGGAGCATGTCTTCGCCATCTTGACAGCCCGTTTCCTTATTTCAGGTCATCATCAACCTGGTGGATCAGAACGGGCGTGAGAAAATCATCGGCGACACGTATCTGAAGCAAGTCCTGCTGTACAACAACCCAAACCTCACTTACGTTTCCTTTGACTTCCACGAACACTGGTGAGAGAAGCGCCGCCGCATGAATGGGCTTTATTTTCGAACAGCACGCAGTCTTCACTTCTTCTTTATGCTTCTTACTTCCTGTTTCTCAGTCGTGGAATGAGGTTCGAGAACGTACAGATACTGACAGATGCCATTTCTGACATCATCACTGACATGAAGTGGGCCTGGTGAGTTTAATATTGATATTTGGCACCTTACCGTATAATAAATGGAGAACCATTCCTGATACTGCTTTAACAGGCAGTAGAGAGGAGAGGAACTCTTGACTTTCTCCCATATATAATATAGCAACACATTGAAACATAACTCCATCATAGGAATTCAAGTTTTCTGTTAAAGCAGAGAGAGGACACCACATTCTGCTCATAGATAAATATTTGTCTTGGTTTCTTTCATAAAATCTGGAGCAGTTCATTTTTACTTCTGGTATCTACGACAAAAAAAAAAAACAGAAACTGTAAATCTCCAGTAATGGCTGACAAAAATTTTATTTCAAATCAAATTAAAAAGGTTTTCAATGCATTTTTTTCTCTTTGTTAAAACTATGCCTGTTTTATTACCTACCGTATTTTCACGACCATAAGGCACACAGTACTAAAAGGCGCAGTCTCAGTTATGTGTGCCATTACTGTATTTAACACACACATAAGGCGCACCGGATTAAAGGGTGCGGGTTTTATATACAGGTACATGTCCTCTACTACGTTTAAATACCTCTACTGCGTATTTGAAAATAGAGCGGGAGCAAAACTGAGTATGATTGTGCTTTATTCATGTATTTATTACAAAGTATTAATCAAACCCATCAAAGTCATCATCCTCTGTTTCTGAATTAAACAGCTGCGCTAAATCAGACATGCCAATTTCCCCTTCTTCGCTGTCAGAGTCACTTTCCGTGGCGTGCGGCTCCTCGGAAATGATGCCGGCTTTTGCGAAAGCTCGAACAACAGAGCCAGCAGACACGTTAGTCCAAGCATCAACAATCCATCCGCAAACAGTGGCGTAACTTGCCCGGCGCTGCCTTCCGCTTTTCGTGAAGCTGCGGTCTCCGTCGGTCATCCATCGCTCCCACGCCGCTCGCAGCCTTACTTTGAACAGCCGGTTCACACCGATGTCGAGCGGTTGAAGTTCCTTTGTCAGACCTCCCGGAATAACAGAAAGCACGGCGTTCATTTGTTTCACCATGTTTTTCACATCGGCTGTGAGATGGGCACGCATGGAGTCACAGATTAACAGCGATGGTGATGCGTGGAAAAAAAAAACACCTGGTCTCCTTACATACACCTCCCTCAGCCACGCTTACATCATCTCCTCATCCATCCAGCCCTTTCATTCGCCTTAATAACGACTCCAGCTGGAAAAGTCTCTTTAGGCAAAGTCTTTCTCTTAAAAATCACCATAGGTGGCAGTTTCTGTCCATTTGCGTGGCAGCCAATCCACGCCCACACTTCACCCTTTAACGTTCTCATGGTGGTCTCAACAACGTCCGCAGTAACAACACACATAGGGCGCACCGCACTATAGGGCGCGCCGCACATTTTGAGGGAAAAAAGACGTTTATATGCGCCTTATAGTTGCGAAAATACGGTAGTATGAGTTAAACCAAGTATTCTGCTTTATCTTTGTTTCACCTGCTGCCAAGAAAAGGCGGGAATCCCCATAGCAACCAGGGGCTGCATTTACTGTTTCCCCCTGGCACTACATGGTTAATTTGAACAATTTGAACATTTCACTGTAAGGTTTTCCACATTCTTTACAGCATAGATTTTTAAAACTTTTCAACCTTTGATGCACAAAAAGGTACCAGTCGACCCAAAGTACTGGATTAGTACACAAACGCCTCTATATATCAATTAACCACAGCTGTAGTAATATTATAAACGGCATCAACAACTTAAGTAGCTGGTTTTGTTAATTTTTAAGTGATACTTTTCCAACTTTTAATCACAAATATTTCGTTTAATTTCTGAAGGGGATAATTCCTTCATAATAAAGTATGATAAAGGATTGAAACGCTTTATATCGGGTTAAAATATGGAATTATTTTATTTTCAAATTATAGTCAACAGAAACTGTTCAAATTAGTTGTATGTAATGTTGGATTATTATTAGAGAAATATCATTTATAGGCCTAGACTGTATTCAAAACTGAAAAAGCTCAGAACTTTGATTCTTATCAAAATAAAAGCTTGGTGTGATTATTGCAAAGGAATATTCTGACTGATTAGTCGAACAGAAGCAGTTCACAAGCAGGCTTCAAGTTAACATGAAATAAAAATCTAGACTTTATCTACACTTTATCTATGATGGTCAGCTACAGCTGGTTTTAAACTGTTTCACAAATAAAAGTTCATGATGATAACTAATTTCTGAGAAATCTGAGCTAAGAAATTAAGGCACGTTAGATGGTGGCCTTCAAAATAAAGCTCCCAGATGATTCCTGATGGAAATATTTTGGTCTTTTGGGTCTTAGATTTGGTAAAAAGGTGTTTCACTACCCCTTTGTGTCTCTAAATAACAACTTTAGTCCATATTTGGTCAATATATCACTGGGTTCTTTCCAATGGGTCATGATTTAGAAGGAACTGTAGCATCAACACTTCAGAGCAGTTTTACTAAATGTGATTATAGTCCAGCTGAGATTCTGTTTCTATGATGCTTTAGGTCTTTAACGTATTTCCATCTGTCAGGGTGGACCAAGCTGGAGTCATCTGCAAACAGGAGGGGATCTTCAGAGTCAACTGTATGGACTGTCTGGACAGAACCAACGTGGTCCAAGCCGCCATCGCCAGAGTGGTGATGGAGCAGCAGGTTAGGCACTTTTCTATGATTTAGCAGAACCTTTAAATCAGGCATCCCCAAAGTCGGTCCTCAAGCGCCGCAGTCCTGCAGGTTTTAGAGGTTTCTCTGCTCCAGCACAGCTGATTTACATTGATAGCTGATTAACAGGCTTTTGCTGAACTGCAATCATCAGAATCTGCTATGCTGAAGCAGAGAAACCTCTAAAACCTGCAGGACTGCGGCCCTCGAGGACCGACTTTGGGGATGCCTGCTTTAAAGGGACCCGTCATGCCCTTAAATATGTTTTTTTAGGAGTCTTGGAGTCTCTATGAGAACAGAAAAATTTAATTGAGGCCACGTCCACACGAAGTCAAAACGAACACGAAATGCTTATATTTTCCAGAACGTTTGTCGTAAAGACGGAGACGTAAAATAAATGTGATCGTCCACACGAATGCATGAAAACGCTGAAAAATGAATGCCAGGCCTGTAAGTGGCGCTGTGGTGCCAAAGCAAAAATAGGCGACGAAATGTTGGGCATG